CCGGCGAATCCACCGGCTATGGTGTTGATGACTCGTCGAGGCTGTGCGGAAGGCTCTTCCTCTCTCCTGTCTCTTGACTGACTACGCTCTCTTTATGAATGTGTTCCTGTTCTCCTCTGCTCAGGCTGATCATGCCGCCGAGAACGATCGGTGTGTCGGGACGAGTTTGGACGGTCTATGAAACCTTGCAATTGCCCCTACTTGATTAGGTCTTCAATTTTGTCTTTCAAAGCCGCGCATTCCTCTGTTGAATGCCCCCGATTGCGATGGTACCTGCAAGACTTTGTTGTATCGGCCCTGGGAGGGGTCGAAGCTCGCTTCGGGACTGCTAGCACCTCTAAGGCAAGTGCTTGTTCTAGGACGGCCGATCTGCTTGTATTGAGGGGCGTATATTGCGAGTACCTCGGTCCGCGAGGAGGCTTCTCGCGAGGAAGAAGCTCTTTCGGACGACTCCGAAAATTAGTCTCGGCCGGCTTGTCAGGTTTTGCCGACACCTCCGCTCGGGCTTTGATCCGGGACTCAGTCAATTCTTCCATCTGCATGTATTTGTCGGCTCGCCGACGCAAATCATCCATGTCAGTCGGGGGTTTCTTACAAATGTTGTTGGCGAAAGGCCCTGGTTTCAAGGCGGTGGTGAGGTGGTGCAGAGCTACAGCAGGATTCAGGTCTCAGATTTCAAGTGTCGCTTTGTTGAATCGGCTCATGAACGCCCGAAGGGATTCCTTTTTCTCCTGACAGATACTAACTAGTGCCAAAGAGGTCAACTGGTGGGGTCGGCTTGTAGCGAATTGAATGGTGAATTGGGAAGCCAACGTGCTAAACGAGTCAACCGAGTTAGCCAGAAGTCGAGTAAACCAACTTAGTGCTCGCCCTTTTAATGATGTTGGGAAGATTCGGCACAGGGCGACATCATCAGTCGTGCTTAGAGTAACTTGAGTTAAGAACACATCCACGTGCTCATCTGGATCGGTGGTACCATCGTACTTGTCGAGGGGCAAGGACTTCCAATGGTCAAGAAGTGCGGACTGCATGATGTTTGGTGTAAAGGGGTGCCGGTGTGCTCCGGCCGGCATCGGTTGTATCAGCCGGCTGACCGAAGCATGGACAGCTGGGATAGCAACAGAAAGGTGGAGGGTAGAGGTGTGATGGCCTTGCGAGTGGAACGACCCCTGAGTGTAGGTCGTCACAGAGGGTTTCCATGTGGGATCCCGGTACTGGTTTTTGAGGGCGACATTCTCTTCTCTCAACGCGGCCATTTCGGCAGCATCTCTCTCTCGTTGCTGTTTCATGGCGGCCATTTATTCCTTCATTTGGCGCACCACATGGTCAGGTTTGTCTCCTCTACCGTCTCGGCCCCGGACTAGTGCTCTTCTTCGGACTGGTGCTCTTCAACGTTAGTTTTCCTTGTCTTTACCATGATTCTTTTCAACGTTGTGCTCGAACTGTTTCTGAAATGCTCTCGGTTCGGCCCCACGGTGGGCGCCAAAATGTACCTGTCAGAGGGTACACTCGTAATCTTCTGTGGGGAAGGGTCGAACGGGATCTTCTGGTGGACTGGCGGAGGAGGGGGGGAGGGACCTGCAAAAGGCACTCCGACACTCAAGTTAGGACAAGCACGACTTTCTATGATAGTTAATGAACAGTGACATACCTCGATATAAGTGACCTATTTATACTACTACTGATGGGCCTTGCCAGCAGTGAGCCTCTTCTAAAGCTTACCAAATTAGGTAATACGGTGCTAATCAGCTAATTATGTCTTAATCACGTGCTTATCCCTGTTAACCATGATCAACGTTATAATTCTTGCTTTGTCCTTCGGCACATCACCGAGCCGACAGGTTAAGGCTTGGGGTGCTGAACGTCTCGGCTGTTGGCTGGACCGATGCGTATTTGCTATGCTATTCTACTTGATCGGCATTTGGCTGAGCCGGTACACGGTATATGGAGATGTATCATGGTTCTGCCCGTCTCGGCCTTATCCCGAGCCGATATTGCTGTCGGACTCCTTTAGGCCTTTGGCTGTAGGCCGAGCCGATGCTAGGGTCAAGGTTTTAGGTATGGTTCAGTACGCGTGAGTGTCTGACGGAATGACACATGTTGGTCCACGTGACCGATAGGGTCCTCCCGGTACAATATATCTTATTTATTTTTTGTTACTTTATTATTCCTGGAGGCTGTGTGTGAATAAAAAATATAAAATAAAATAAAATATTGAAGGGGTGACATGACGGCCAACAAATTCCTGAAATTACAAAATAAAAATAGCTAGGAAAAAAATATTATAAATAAGAAAATTATTTTTTATTTCTTAAAAATATGATGATGAATAGTATCTATTACATATTCTTTTAGGCCTTTTTATTTTTATTTATTTTATTTAAATTATTTTGAATTTAAAAATATTTAAATATAATATTTTTTAAGAAATATATATCTAAAAATGATTTTTTTATTTATAATATTTATGTGAATCGTATTCTTGAAATTACAAAATAAAATTATATATTTTCTTAAAAATAAAATATATTTGAAAAAAAATTATATAAACATTTAATAAAATAATAATTTTGTTAATAACAGTACCAGATCTTCATCATATAACGTGGCAAAGTTTACTCCTTTCCCTTAAATTATTTTCTTTTCATCCGTCAGTGGTTGGCATGCTAGTAATTTTGATAAAAGGAAAGCATTTTTACGAAGTGAACATTGCAGAGAGAACATTGCGGTAGTAATTTTGATAAAAGGAAAGCATTTTTACGAAGTGAACATTGCAGAGAGAACATTGCGGTGAGATAACGTGAGAGAAAAAATCGTAACCAGATCTTTTACAAATTTTTAAAATTCAAAATTAAAGTTAAAAATAATGATATGGCATCTTATGATTGGAGGGACAGGATTTGGAAACAGGAATCGGAGACAGAAGATTTTGATCTCATTTTGTGATCTTGACAAGTTTGTCATCATAAAATTTTGTTCTGTCTCCTGAAAAAAAAAAACGGAAGAAAGACACGAAGGTGGCGCTTGTGTCTCACGCTCTGGTCATGATAATTTAAGGGGTTAGATGGAGCCAATAAATAAAAATCATTTTTCTCTTTTTTAATATATATATATATAGTAAAAATAAATACTTATTTTTATTAAAAATGCGAAATATTATTACACATTTTTTTTTTACCTAAATATATTTTTGATCATTATAATATACACATTTTATGATTTTAATCTTTATCAAAAAATGATTAATTTTGTCCCTATAAAATTTTATTCTATAATTTTAGTTTCTAATATTATTTATTGATGATGTGATAAATATTTATTTAAAAAAAATTAATGACTAAAACGAAAAATGAGATATTATATGAATCTTATTAAAATTTTATATTTTATAAAAGCTTATAAAAAAATAACATAGTTATATTTTATATTTTATATTTTGATAAATTAAAATTTTCTTTATAACAATTTTATTTAAATTATTTTGAGTCCGGAACGATCCCCCTCATAGTCCCCTCAGAACCGGCCTTGTTGTGTCTTGTAATTTAGCTTATGTCTGTTTTTATACCTAAAATACTCTCTAATTTTCAAATTTACTTTTTTTATATATATAAATTGAATTGATTAAACTATTTTAAGTATATTTCTACTTATAACCCATAATCTAAAACATCAAATTTTCCATAATTTTTTTTTATTTAAAAATCTTAACACTTTTCAAATCCTGATATCACATCTATAAAAAGAAAATTCAATTTTTCAGTAAATTTGCTTCAATATTTAAAATTATCTCGTATCCCAAATTCAATACAACCTCCCAAATACTTGGACATAAATTAAAAATAAAATATGGTTTTAGCCTTTTTAGGAAAAGGCATTGGTGGTAAGGTTGAGTTCGTTTAATTTAAAATTAAAAGAATATAGCCGGAAAAAAGTCCTAGAAAATAAAACTATAATTATGTATACCAAACTAAAGAATATATATATAT